TTTTTTTTTTTTTTTTTTTTTTTTATTAACCAAAAAATAACTTAAAGGGTCAAATAATCAAATACTCTATAGTTTTTACAATGTCACATTTTTTAGTTTTGTATGTTTTTTATTGTAAAAAGAGCATACAGTATTTAAAAAGAACTGATATTTTTAGCGTTGCTTCAGCACCCCCAAAAATAGGCTAAAAACGCCTATGGTTTAAAGGAAGTGTTAAAAGACTTTCCCAATTTGTTTTTTAAAGAGATATCTACAATCCTTGGGTGCACTTCTATTCATCTGCCATGGCTCTATCTTCCACTTTCAATTAGGATATCTAGAGACTGAAATATTTCAGATATTAAGTTAAGGTCATTGTCTTTTTCAAAGGTGAACTATGAACCCAGTCTAAAAACTTTCCTAAAGACTTAAAGATTTCCTTCTTTCTGCATTTTTCTATCCATTCATGTATTTCACCATCTTCTTTATGCATCCCTTTCCCTGCTTGAGAAAACAATTCCCTTCACATAACACCATTTACATGTGACAGCATGAAACTGATATCTGACCACTCAGGGTGGATTTAGCATTTGTAGGTTTAAAATAAAACATTCTACTGGAACATGCTTTCTTGGAAAATTATCCAGGCTTTACTGTATGTTAGTGTCAGGTCTTCACACAGCCCCTCATGAATACAAAAAAAGTTTCAATGAAAATGAAAACAGCACCACTAAAAATGTGCATGAGGTAATTTAGTGAGTGCTCATGTTGGCTTCAGTAAATACTAAGGAAGCAGATGGTACGGTAATTCTTTTTCTATTACCCAAAGCAACCGTACATGTTACCTTTTGGGTGTTTTGCAGGGGCAAAGCAGCCACAGGGCTTTGTCGCTGCATTTAAAGCTTGGTGTAATTCAGGATAGCGTAACTGGGATTTCTATAAAGGAAAAGGCCGGTCATCAAGGAATAATCAATGGATCATTATCTATACCTAAAATGAGTACATTTGTGGGGATTTTATTAAGTTAGCGTTAATCAGTCAAAATATAAAAACAATAATTTTCGTCACGATCACTGAGCAGCAAGTGACATCTTCCAGCAGTGACGTCACGGAGCGGTAAGCCTAGAATCAATCAGTACAGAGATCTGTTGTTGGATCATATTAATCTTGAGACAGCATCTGCATCCCCATCAGACCGATCACTCTGGGCTCCCTTGATCGGCTCCATCACTTAGTGTTGTGGGGGGCTGTGGGGCATGTCCTATGGGGCGCGGGGGGCCGCTCGGAGTGGGGTTACCCTCATCGGGGCGGGGCTTGGGACACCTCGGGTGGTGGCCCCTTGCAGTGCTTTTGGGGGGTTCCACGGTGGCGGACATGGGTTACTGGCCTGGTGGCTGTGCTGCTGCTGGGTGGGTCCGGGGGTCTGGGGTCCCTGGGGTGTGTTGCCCTCTCTGTGGGGAATGCTGCTTGGGGTCTGGGCTGTCGATTAGGGGGGGGATGCGCTGGCACCGCCTGTCTTCCGGATGGGGGGTTGGACGGTGCTGGTACTCCCAGTTTTAATTATACTTGAGAGCAACACGTAACAACACCACATTTGAGCAGGAAGGATCGGGGTCTTCTCACACCCCTGTTTTCGGGCTGCAATCCAAAAGTATGGAGCCTGGAGGAAGAGTGAGCCGCCTGGTCCGTGGTCTTGGACACCAGATACAGCACTGGGACTTGATCAACAGCCGATACCGCACCGTGACGTCACTAACCANGACACCAGATACAGCACTGGGACTTGATCAACAGCCGATACCGCACCGTGACGTCACTAACCAGTAGGTGGCAGTAGTGTTCTTTGACAAACATTGACGCCTCCAGTAAAGCACATTCACATGAAAATTACTCTGAATTAAAAACACTGATCATTTATTGAACAGGATGGAATCATTTATTATTCAGAGTAATTTCAGAAGTTTGAATTCTGAATATGAGCGGACTTTTCCTTTACATACTCTAAGCCAGAGACCATAATGTGTAAAGTCACACCATTCTGCCAGGCTGTCAAGCTTTGATGATGGTCTTCTTTGTGTTATTGCTCATTATCCGGCCGCGGTTAGAATTCTCCTCCGCCAAGTGTGTCTGATGAATGGAAAGAAACTTATACAGTTTGTGGTTGAATGAAAGTGAAACACAGCAAACCTCACCAGGACCTGCGTAGTTCAACTTTACAGTCAGTCAGTGCTCTTCTATTTGCATGAATCAGTGGAGAGAACTTATTTCTTTATCTTTAATGCATATTTTTTTTAAACTACAGTTAAAAATAGAGGTAATTTTTACCAGAAAATGTGTTTAGAAACTTTTCAGGATTTCTCTTGATTGACATAAGAGGCTCTGCGTTACATTTGATAAGACTTGTGTCTTAAAAGGTTGAGCATTTCCACATAATGTCCTCTCCTCTTATCTGATCAATTTTTTGACATACAGCAGGTTTTCCTAAAGCAAGAGATTAACACAATATGATGCTGTTATCCCCATTCCTCACAGCTAGGATAGGTGTTTACAGCTTTCACACCTGACCCGTCTTCTTCCAGAAGAAACTGATCATTATGAACAAATCCTTAAAGGTCATAGCTACAACTTTTTCATAACAACAATTTTTCAAAAATATTACATTCACATGTTTAGAGGGGTTCAGAAAAACAATTATGTTACTGAAAAAAGTATATTGTGTGTTTGATGTTTCTTCAGCGAGAAACATTTGATGCCTATATTGACAAAAAAGAAGAAAAATGTATCAAAAAATCTTTTAAACATTCCCAGTTATAACAGAAACCCCCAGTAGAGCTTAGCAAACTCTTTACAGTTATGTCTGGTCATGAAACATCTGTTTGGCATGTATTAGCATTTAATGGTTGTGTCGTTCTTTGTTTCTCGTAGAAACAAAGATGTCACTTGTTGCTCATTTTCTTCAACAGTGAGCTTGTTACAGACACTCTTAAAGGAATAGTACACCCAAAACATGATTAGCCTTCATTTTCTACTCCCCCCCATGCTGAACAACACTCTG